TGTTATAACACCAGTTATTCCCCAGCTGTCACACATCTGTGTAGTGACCGGGCTTAACGTTGCTTAATTTCGGTGATCGGGCTAAAAACCGGTATTTCAACGTGATATGACCGTAAGCTTTTAAACAAATACATTCACTTATTGCGAACAATGCAACTTAAAAGTTTTTATACTTCATTCAATAGCCTCGACATTATTATTGTATGTGTTATCTTCAGTACGTTATGGTTCTCCACAACTTCCTGTTCTTTTTAGCTCTTAGTAATTAATCTTTATCTTTTTGCTGTCTCCCCTACTCCCAGTTTTACCAACAATTTACACAAGCTTGTTGGGTAGGTTATTCATTGCTTTCCACAGTCTATTTTGCCTGCATTATGTCCTACGCGTGTCAAATTCTCTAAGCCTTCTTTCCCCATTATATACGCTAAAATTTTCAATTCCGCTTTCTGCAAGCGTTCTTTTTGTTTCCATTTTTTCTCAAAACTTCCTCGTCATTCACACGTTCAGTCCATGGTATTCTTAGCATCCTTCTGTAGAACCACATTTCTGTTGCCTCAAATCTCTTCCTCTCTTAGAAGATTGTCCGGGAATCCCTGCCATTTGGGAGGTTCGATATTATATAAAGGCTAATCACTCTTCTTTGTTTTGAACGAATATTTTTCCTGTTTCTTAATACATTGTTTAGCATTTGGAAGGCATCTTTCACCATTACAATACGCTTTAGAATTTAACATTTTTTTTTACTTTCTTGGTTTTAGTGTTTACAATTTGTATTGGTCTGTTTCTTTTCCGTACAACGATAGTGATTTTCTAAGAACAGCTTAGATGTAGTACAAGGCCGAAAGTTGTGAGCACCCAGTCGTAATTGTTCTAGTGAGACAAGCTTGCTAACCATTACACCACGTCGAGGTGCCCTTTTCAAACAACGATACATTCCGTCTCCTTACAATTGTTGCTTAGTCCTGTATTCTCTTCTCCCTTTCCTTTACTACCTTATTGTTGTAATGGAATGATCCACTCTCCCTATTATCTATTGTGCACTGACTATATCAGTAATATATGCAGGACATACCAGAGTCTGTCAGTCTGTCCGTCTGTCTGACTGGCTTCAGTAGTGTATTCTCTTTTACAATAAATCTCTCTTTCTTCCATCTACGTCCGTGTTTACACCGATCAAAATTTTAAATTTAATTTATTTTCATAAAAAGATTTTCACAGCGAGAAATCAGACAGAGATCAGGTTTTCTGATAATAATAGGAATTCCACCAGAAAGTACACCGTCCACAAAAACATCTGTCGGTGAGTAATTACCATTTCTCTGTTTAGTTCTCGGTCCGTTGATGAAGGACACAGGCAAGTTGCTGCTCCTTCCATTCGAGTACCACCTTTGGCTGTTTGTAACCTTTTTAAGTATCCAACACTTGTCTAAGAATTCCTGTACTTTTATTTCTGTGTCTATTATTAACACTGACCACTGCATAACTAATGTTGCTAAGATTGTGGCCACCAATAATGAATCCTGGTATAGTTTCTAATTCTTTGATTGTCTCACTGTATAAAATAAATAAATCCGATGAGAAAACACATCTTTGTCTTACGTAATTTGCTTCTTTTTTTTTAATAGAGCTAATTATTAGATCCCTGTGATACTTGTTAGGCATAAGAAAGTTATGTAAATCTTGACTCACGCGGCGATGAAGCTCGTGCGTCTGACCTGGAAGTCCGATAGGAAACGACTCCGGATGGACCGGGAAATCAACCCTGGCGTCGTCTTGAAAACGGCTCTGAGTTCCTCCTATGCGAATTGGAGAAATGTTGGCATCACTCGAAAACACCTAACAGGAAATTGGAATTTGAGAATGTGTTCCCGAAACGTAAATCGAACCATTATAAATATGGTTTCACATCCGGGAAACAAACGAGGTGAGAATTCAGACGCTCACTAAAAAGCCGACGAACGAAATACTGGAAGATACGAAACAAAAAGGAATTCTGCCTTTAAGTTGGAATTGAGTGAGATCCCTTACCCTAAAGATTTTAAAGGGGGTTAAATTATTATGTATCTCTAATGAGAAATGAAATTCAATAAAGTTATAAACGAATGTTAAAGAAGACATTTGCTTGCTTGATTGATTGATTTGTTATTTACGGCTTATCAACCTTTTGCAGGTTATTTAAAACCAGAAAAATGTTTTAGATTGCAATAATTATTTGAAGATAATAATGATTTACTGATACAAGCCCTACTACTCAGCATATAGACAGAGGTGAAGAGGTGAATTCATACGTTTCCCAAGGATATTTGCGAGTCACTATAACTAATCCGAATGAAATTGGAACTCAGCTACCTGGCTTCCAATTCCGACCCCTTGTCAATTACACAAGCCGCAGATCCAAGCTTATAACACCTGGTATTCCCGAGCGGTTATCCATCTAGGTATGAAAACTTTTGTGCTACTGTTTCTTTACCTTCGGGAAGTAATAACGTTTTACCAGAGAAGACATAAAAATGTTGAATTTATATAACTATTATTTATGAAAAGTAATAAATCACTTTTATTTTCAAAAATGAATCCACCCCAAGCGGGTGGGTAGCAATGTTCGATTTCACGTCTAAATTAAACGGAGATTTTTTTTTCTCGGAAAACTGTTTGAAAAATTGCTTGCGACATCTTTATTTCTATTACTTTCTACAACTTATGAAATGCTCTGGTGACCTAAATGAATGAAAATCAATATTGTGTTAAATCTGGTGAGTATTGATGATATAGAACCTAATAAGTTTGTTTTTTTTTTGTTGTTTTTTTTTGCTTTCATTTTTTTTTTTTTTTTTTTTTGCTTTCATTTTTTTGTTTTTTTTTTTGCTGTGTGCGACACTGTAAGCCATGATGGAGGATAACACCATCTTTGTTTAGAAACAGGGCACAGACTCTACTTAATCTTTCGCCTACCCGCTCGATTTACTGGCGATAAATATCTGCAGTGCCGACCATGTTCCAGTAACTAGAAATGGAAAACACTTTCTCATTTTGTGATAACCATTGTCTTTTTTTTTATTTTTGTTATTGTTATTTTCTGTTGACATGCAAAACCCATTTTTCCTCACCTGTAGCAACTAGAAGCAAAAACGATTAAAAAAAGTAAATAAAATAACCGTTGGTAGATAATTGACTTCGGTTCTCTAGTGAAAATCTACGAGAAACCCAAATCCCTTTTTTCACAGCTACACTCTGAAATACACCATAAAATATACATTGTCAACTAGAAGAGATTATCAACTAATTCTAGACGCAGGTTCTTAAGATTCAAATTGTTTCTGACTTAGATGCTCATAATTCGTAGTACTGAAATTCATAATTACTTTCCGAAATAACAATTGTAACTGAAAGACACATTTAATATAATGCAAAATCTCTTTGATAATGTCGAATGAAAGCTGAAAGTATTCAGATAACAGGAAGATTCAGGTTCCCATCGAAAACCATAAACACTACACAAATATTTTAAAATGTCTCTCTAGCAGTATCACCTTTGCGGAATTCATACTTTGGAAAATGCTGAATATATTGTTTTTCAAAATTATAGCCGTCTATGGAGTCAAACTCTGAAATGCGCTATGAACGGCACACCGGTGGACATGATGAACTGATTCTTGATGCAATTTATAACCATTAAACTATGATTCAGTTTTCATTGGTTGATTCTTAATTCACTCCCTTGAAATACGTAATTACTTTACGAACTCCCTAATATGTATGCATGTTGGTCCATTTTTCAGGGTGACCTTTTGATGGTTATCGGAATGGGGGAGGCGATCTCAGCGTGCAGCACCGTTGGAAAGTGACTGGAAACCACACCACGACTTGACTCAAGTCTTGTGAGCAAAATTATTTAGTCTCAAATGTTTGGAAGATATCAATGGTTGTCCTAGCAAGAAGTCATAAGTCAGCGTGACAGAGGGTTTGAACGTACTAGTCTTTTTCAACTGCTTATCACGTCAGATAAGATGCTTCACACAGAAAACTGCAACTAAGGTTCGCTCAACATATTTAGAGAACAAACGGACTGTGTGAGTGTTAAACACATATTTGCTTGAGCTATTATCTACAACAGAGATTGTCAATCTACCCGTGCTGACGGTTGTGCTAGGGGACTATTAGTCGAGTATTATCCATTTAGACATGTATCCATGTACGGTTGGTGTAATGGTTAGCGGCTCTGAACGAGAAATATACGTGTTCGAATCCCAGGCTTTCCTTAAATTCACATTCGTGCAAATACACTTGGTATTAATTCATCTCTTCTCGCCTCGGCGTTGATTTAAATAGTATGACAGACTGGACTCTTCAGTCTTGATTGGCAACCGGTCTTGAGAAGAAGGAAATCTCTAATAATCATAATCGTGCCATCATATATGTAGTCGACCGTCATCATATACGTATGTATGTATGTATGTATGTATGTATGTATGTATATTCTTCTCATAGTGAAAGTATTTCTGTACAAAAGAAACACAAAACTAGACAAGTAAACAATCGGCGATTGAAGTTATAGATTTGTTTGTTTAAAGACGTTTAGTACAGAAAGGCTTTTACTATGGAAAATAGAATTGATTTCAGATATTTTCTCATTGTAGTTTCAAATTGCTTAGAAATTGTTGAAACGAAATTCTCATACAAATTACTGACCCTTACGAACTTTTTGAAAACAAAGGGAATTTCTTTAGTTATTAACTTTTCAAGAGTAGATTTTGTAGTGATATGCAGAATTTAAAATGTCTTGCAATGTGATTAAAAATGCCTATAGGCGTAACAAGGTTTTTGCCTTGCCCAAATTAATCTATATCCGTAGGCACTGTTTACTTATCTCGCGTGGACAGGGTTGTTCAGTTCTTTGACGACATTTCTTTTAATAGCTCTAACTTTTTCCAAACTTGTTCTGTTTATCATTTCTTTTCAGATAAATAATGACAAGCATAAGGCTAACTCAGCAGGTGAAAATGCTCGCTGGAATCGCTGCCTTGAACGCAAAGTATAGTGATTTAGAGATTGCTCGCCTCCTGAAAATTGTCAAAATTCGCCATGAACAGAAAGACGCTGATCGGAGATTCTACAATAATAGGCTAAACATAAAACAGCCGCTAAGCGTCCTAATACCATCGGAAGACCCAAATTTGTAAGAAAGGAACAGAAAATAATTAATAAGAACACCAGAAATTCAAATTAGCACCATTAATAAGGAGCTCAAGGTTTCAAGGCTCTCTATCGGAAGAACTGTACTCGTCCTGAGTATGACGATAAACTACATCAGCAGCAAGGCCTCTGATCGAGAGAGTGGATGTTTTGAAGAACAAGGTACCACCCAGATCCAACCTTGTTAGGGTCCTAGCTACAGTGACCCCCATAAAAACAAAACACTATGAAAGTATTTTTTATAGTAAAAATACTAGCAATACATTTTTATATAAAGGGTGTCCATAAAGTTTGTGTGCACTTTAAAGTTATACATTCTTTAAAGTGCACACGAACTTTATGGACACCCTGTATAAAAAAAAATTACAAACAGTACAGTTTCTGTCGTTGAAGGCATACACTTTCGTTCAAAATATATTTAGTTGAAACCATAAAATTATGTTCCAAAATATCTAGATTTCGGATTAAATAACCCATAGAGTTTGATATAATCCAAACAAAATCAACCAATTTTCTTATCCCTCCGTCGGTCAGAGTTGACCATGGGTAGCATCCTAGTTGTCTGCTTGGCTGGAGCATCAACATCTGTGACTGTAGAGGCCGATGCGGGAGTGACAATCTCTGTTGCAGGGGTCACATGTGTATTCTGTCTCTGGTCTGTTGGAGCTGTCACTTTGCTTTCTGTGGGCCCGCCTTTCCTTGGGGACGTGTCAACTTCTCCTCCCCTGACTTCAGGTGTTTGGTCAGGGTTCCTCTCCATTTGGATCGTATGGCTGCCAGGCTCTCCCAGGACTCTGTGTTGATGTCCACAGCTTTCATGTCGCGCCTCATGACATCACGATACCACATCTGTGGCCGCCCGGTGGATCTCCATCCAGAGGCCAGCTTCCCATACAGGAGGTCTTTGGCCGTCTGGAATGCGGTAGACGTGGCCCAACCAACGGAGTCTGCACTGTCTGAGCAGTGTGAACATTCTGGGCAGACCTGCTCGAGACAGGACCTCAATGTTGTACACCTTGTCTTGCCACGCTATTTCCATAGAGTTGATATATCGCTAAACAAAATCAGCGAACCAACCAAGAATTGTGTATGAAGACCTTCGATAGAAGCCATATGTAATGCGGATAGGCCAATTCATGTAGAATGAAAAATAACCGTCTTCTCTACGTTTGTTGAACAACTTGAAACATCAAGTGCCTGGAATGCTTTGTTTTTTTTTTCTCTGATGGGAACAACTTAGATCAGGATCCAAAGCGAGGTTATGATAAATGGTTGTGCAGAAACCTTGTTTACGCTCCGACGATAATGCACACAATGTTTCCGGTAACTGTAAATGTCCTGGAAGTCAGAAGCAACAAGGGACATATATCATGTCACCTCGCTTCTTTCCTCAGTGCTTCTTTCCTCAATGCTGTTGAATATAAGTTGGCGTTCGAGGGGGTTGTGAGGCTTTGGGTAGAGAACGTGAGCAAAGGAAGACACAAGACTCTGCACTCTCTCAGAAGGTTAAGACAACCCAAGAATATATATGTTACAATGTCCACCATAATGTCACCTCAAACATAAGACCACCTAGTTCTCTATACCTGAATCACAATTGGACAAATACGTTGGTGCATAATCGAGAGAGAAGTTAATCAGTCAGTTATGTGCCATAACACGCTTAGGCGATCATGTACCTTTCGATACATTTTTTCCCACAGTAGGTTTCCATTTCTTTCTACAGTAGACCAGTTGCCATCCAAAGGTCTAGAACCCGATCTGCCCTGCTCCATAGCTGGAGGGAGAAGAAGAGGATTCATACATTTCCCATGGGTATTAGCACGTAAGTGAATGAAATAGGATTCGACTTGAATTCGAACTCGGCTCTCCGATTCCTCAATCCTAGCTGCTATCCATTACTCCAACGTGACTATCGAGAAGTTAATCAACATTCCCATAATACTAAGTCTCTAAAGTATACCATAACGAACACAATGTTCAAAATAAAGATCATCTTATTCGGACATGCTAGATGGATAAGCGGCTCGTGAAAGGGAAAGGTATGAATCCTATTCATCTCCCCCTCCCCCAGCTATGAGTAAATAGCAGGACAGACCAGGTTCTATAGCCTTGGATAGCAACTGGTCTACTGCAGAAAGAAATGGCAACCTACTGCGGGAAAAAATCTGCCTCTCAGTCATATATCGAAAGATACATGATCGCCTAAGCGTGTATCAAGCATGATATATAACTGAACGTTTCAGGTCAGGTACTGAAACAGTTATTGATGCTAACGGCTGATTCATTAAGTAGATGCATACAGAATAACCTGAATAATATTCCAGTCATTTCTTTCTAAAATAAAGCTTTTCTTTCATGACTTATGCCTCTTTTACTAAATTCATGCAAATGTTCTCAAAGAACTGAGCAACCCAATATATGCATAAAAAATAAACAGAATTGTGATGGATCAGCGATATATTGGAGGCGTGAAGATCGTGCATGCAAGATAGACTTCTCACGGATTAAATTTACAGAGTGATTAAGAAAACTAGATTATATTGTTATGCGTCAACCCCGGCTGAAATAGATCCATAATTGCGAACTTTTGTAAAGAATTATTCATAGCGAAGAGAACTTTTAAATGTAAAAAAAGATATCAAGCGTATATATATATATATATATATATATATATATATATATATATATAAATAAACTGATTGAAAAATAAGATTGTGAACGAAAAGTTAATTTCTTAAAAAGAGTTGCACGTAATCTGAAACTTCGTTAAAAGCAGCTACATCTAATATTAAACTTCGACAAATAAACTTTCGATAAATAAGTGATTTTACTTCACAGGTTAAGGACACTCTTTCGCTTGGCCAATCCCTGACACATTTCAGTCAATACTGCTTTTAACCGGGCCAATTGTGAAATGTATTTGTTTGAATTCAAAATCTGAATTTGCAGAAAGATGTCGTAGTAAACATTGACCATCAAATCCCGCCAGATTGTACTTTAGTGTGAAACGACAGTCTTCCGCTTGACCAATCCCTGACACTTTTCAGTCAATACTGCCTTTAACCAGGCCAATCAGAAACATATCGTTGTAAAAATTGCCCTTCACATCCCGCCAGATGCGCATCACCTTCACCGGGTGTTTTCATCTGTAACTCTTTCCGCCTTACATTGTTGTAAACAATCTATTTTTCAGTATCTGTCTATATTTCTGAGAGGAAGTATTATGTACATTATTTACATTATTCGGACTATTTCTTACAAAGTTTCGGCCGTTGTACGCTCCGGCCTTCTTCAGGTGGTTGAAATGTCGTACTGAACCCATTGTTTTTATTTTACTGGGGTAGATTGTTCTAGTTCCACGTGCAATATTTAATATCAGTTATCTCCTGTTGATTTCCCTCTGAAAGTTCTCCACTGCCTTAACCGGGTATTGATCTCACTCTTTGGGTCCTGTCACTGGATCTAACTACCGCCTTTATCCACTAAGCCATGTGTCATCTGTGTATGACATCTAGGTATTATAAATTTAATGTCTTAAATGTTTAATTTAAATTTAATGTCTTCAGCCTCATTTTTTACCAGTGCTCATATTATCTATTTTTCATCACCTTTTTTCATTCTTTACAAAAAGAGATCTTTTTTTTTTACCTTTCAGCAAGAATCGCTTCAGTGCATTAAATAATATTCTCTTAAATTGTGAGGCAACCAAATATCTCAGTGATTCACGTATCTAAGTGTTTTCTTACAATGCTTCTAAGAGATATGTGAAGTTCCCGCGTCGTATGACATATATGGTACTTTTTCATAATTGCTGAGGGAGAATTTATATTTAAACTTTCACCGGAAACCAGAAAAATGGTCCGGAAATATGTAACAAAGAACATTGCTTGGGTTTTAATCAAACTTATATAAATCAGCCCATGAACATTGCATTCAACTATAAAACAGACTGTCGCCACTCGATTTTGATCCCAATGTTTACTTCACACACACACACACGCACACACATCTAAATATATATATATATATATATATATATATATATATATATATATATATATATGTATGTATGTATATATATAAAAGATACTTAGAGAAGTATTTGTGCAGGATATCATTAGCAAATTTTATCCAATGAAATTGAAGATTTACTCCACACACACACACACACACACACACACACACACACACATATATATATATATATATATATATATATATATATATATATATATATATATATATGAAGGTTTTCAAAAAAAAAGCCATAGAATTATTGATGCTTACAGCAACCATCTTGAAGGAATAAAGCTGGAAAATATTTTTTAGTTTTTAATAATTTTTGGTAGATAATAATGATTTACTAATACAAGTACTACTAATTAATCCATAGCGTGAGGGAGAATAGCTGTATTCATACCTTTCCAAAGGGTACTTGCGCATAAGTGAATATAAATAAACCGAGATGAATTGGATCTCTGATCTCCGTTATCCATTACGCCACCCGCAGATCCAAAACAGCCGAACCTGTTCTACCTTCCCTGGTTGGCGTATATTTCCGACGTGAAACACTTCTGTTTACTTTCTATTGTACGTCATTGACAACGGTCACTACAAGCGCATTGTGTTCTGTTTAACGATCAAATGCAAACGTTTTTGTTGAACACAACGTTGAAAATCTGACTTGCAGTTGCATAAAAATCGCAGAGGCTGACACGTTTACAACGAAAAACAATACCCTGTCCGGTGTCCAAAGCTGAAGTACCGGCTTAGCTACCGAAACTCTGTTACCTCCCCTGTTTGGCGTCTGATGAGAGCAGGATATTGCACGTGCTTTCACACGTTGTATGTAGACCAAAATAGATCCGCGAAACAATAATTTCGTCTGGGTTTTCATTTGAAGCGCCAATTTTTCAATATAGCGATCACGAGATATTTGATGAATGGAAATGTGTTTGCAACTTCATCCTCTGGGATTAAAAATTGTCCCAAGGACAAAATCTTTTGTGTCTCTATATATTTTCGTTATTTTAATAAAAATTTTTGTATATGTGTGTGTGTGTGTGTGTGTGTGTTGCTTATGACTAGCTTTTCTGATCATAAAATTGCGCATGCGTCGAGTGTATTCTATTTTTTGTTTTGTCTCAGAGTAGAAAAAATAAAGATCTTCAAATTACATTTCGACGAAAATTGATCTTCAAATTTTCTGCAGTAATTTGTAAAGGGAGCAGATCGAATGCGACAATTCAATTACTATCCTCCTATCGACCATCTTAGCTTTTCCACCGTGATTAATTCTAGCAGGAGAAACGGGCAGTTAACTTTTAACTGGCGGACAATTTGTAGGGTTTTTTTTATTGCATATATACATACATATATATATATATATATATATATAGGGAAGAGATTATAGTAGTTCCAACGAGAGAAAAGTGTGTATATTAAAAAGAAGAGAGAAACCGCAAACGTTTTTGGTTGTAATATGGATTTTTTTTTTAAATATGTATTATGCTTATTTTCCATAATTTTGCTACACGAGTTTCTGGTCTCGCGACCTTCATCTGACAAAGAGTGGATATTTCCACATATTAAAAGGAATTAATTTTTCTCATTTTTTTCGATGTTAAATATTCTCGATATTAGGCATTCTCTTTTTTGTGTTAGTGACCCAAATGTTTCCTTGAACTGGCAGTGAAAAAGTTCTGCGTGAAGGGTAATAATACAATTAAGCCTGGTCCGATAAAGGGAAGGAAAGATATCTGTATTCTTATCTTTTAATGACACCTGTGTGTTTTTAGATATATTAGAGATATGTATATGTGTACATATGTATATACTAATTGCTTATAATAAAACAGTAGTATGTATGGAGAGGGAATATACGTATACATACGCATGCTGACAAAAACGCAAAAAAACGGAAATAGATCTAACAACACAAAGGGGTCATTAAAAGATAAAAATATAGATATCCTTCTCACCCTTTCTCGGACCAGTCTTAATTGTTTTATTACCTTTCACGCAGAATTATTCACTGCCAGTTCAAGGAAGTCATTTGCGTCACTAACACAAAAAAGAGAATGTCGAGAATATTCAACACCGAAAAACATAAGAAAAATTAATTCCTTTTAATAATAGGTGGAAATATCAACTCTTTGCCTGATGAAGGTCGTGAGGCGGCAAACCCGTGTAGCAAAATTATGAAAAAAAAAATAATAAAGCATAATATATATTTTTTTTTTAAATCACATTACAACCAAAAACGTTTGCTGCGGTTTTTCTCTAGTTTTTAATATCAAAGGTAATGCAGATTTTACAAGAAATGAAAATATTTTTCTCTTTTTCTACCATAATATGTAAGTCTGCAAGACGTCAAGCTATGGGGGATTCAAATAATATTTATAGATTTGAAGTTACTTGAACGGAAGAAAAAAGTGGAATTGCAGTCACGATTTCGAATTCTGACTGGTTCTGTCTCATTCACATTGTACTACTGCCCTTTGAAAAGGCATGAGTCCTTCTTTATTTCAGCTATGGGTTAAAATTCTGAATTCAGACCTTTATAAATAATACGAGGGTCGTTCAAAAATTTCTAAGCCTCACCTACAAAGAGCTATAGCTGAACATATAAATCTACGCAATTAATTCAGATTTCTGTTTTAATTTCTGTGCAGGTGATGCTCATTAAAAGGTGAGAGTTGTGTGATAAATCTAAAAATAGACAAAAGAGAGGCCTGAGCAGTCATAAAGTATCTGTAAAAGAAAGGTACGTCAAGCGAGAAAATCCTGAGGACTCCTCTTTCTACGTAAATGTGAAGTGGGCTACGGAATTCAAGTGGAACAGGTATAGCAAAGAAGATGTTCCTAAGGCAGGTTGTCCAAAAACGTCAACCACTGATGAACAAGTTGTTGCCCTTCACCGTATTTTTTTTTTTTTTTTTGGATAGCAGACGTCTAAGTGTCCAGCAGATAGCTAGGTCCATAGGCGTGAGCTCTGGTTTCGTCCATTCTGTTTTAACTGAGATCTTGGGGATGAACAAGCTGCCTGCTGGGTCCTAAGAATGCTGACACCAGAGCAGAAACATATCTAGGACTTCTGATTCAATTCTAGGTTGAACCTGATAATTTTCACCGCAGGTTAGTAACTCAAGATAAAACCTGGGGTCACCACCTCGAACCTGAATCAAAAACTCAAAGGAAACAGTGAAAACACAGGTTCTCCACCAACGAAAAAGTTCAGGCAGGTAGGTGATGGCTTCTGTTTTTTTGGATTCTAAAGGCGTAATCACGATAGATTGCATTGAAAATGGAAAAACTATTAATGGACATTACTTATGCAGTAGAGTTGAGTAAACTGAAGGAAGTAATCAACGCAGAGTGAACCTGATGACAAGGGGACTCTTGCTCCAGGATAACGCGCCAGCTAGCAGTAGCTGAAACCGCCATCTATGGCTTTGAGTTGCTACCCCACCTCCTTACTCACCAGACTCCACCTGACTTCTTCCTGTTTCCCAAACTCAAACCCCATCCGCGTGTTAGCTATTTTGAAAACAATGATGAGGTTATATGTGCTGTGGGTGTGATTTTGGAGGATTAGGATACAATCTTCTCATGGGATTGCAATGCTTAAGCGTCGTTGGACCAAGGGAGACTATACTGATGTCAACGGGGACTATATTGAAAAAGAGTTAAAAACTTGTTACTCCAACTCCTTCTAGGTTAGGCTTAGAACCTTTTTAATTACCCTCGTATGATAAACCAGGCTCTTTAAATGTTTTTAATTCATAATTGATAACCATCGTCAAAAAGGGTAGACAGGGTTTCGTATATTAGGTAGGGCAATCAGTGTAGGGGAAGGAAAACTCTGAATTAAAAACCAGCCTAATTTAAAAACCAGCTATTTTACCCTAGATATAACTACTCTTGCTACGGCTGTATAGTTATAATGCACCAACGATCCTAATGCTTTATTGGCCGTGATCATGAAATAGAAGTAAAATTTACACCGACTAGGCTATAATGACAAAAAAAATTGGTTATTTTTTGTTAGATAGCGGTTAAGGAAAGACCTTTGACTTTACTTCCGCTGCATCATAAATCATAAAACATAAATCGGAACTGGTGATAGCATAAACACTAAATGCATCCGGTGGATAAAATAAACAGGACGCACAGGTATCCTGAACGAATTGTGCGGGCGTATGTCGGAAGAGACGTAGCCACACGAAGTTGCGTAGGTATGCAAATATTTTAACCAGTCCGAATATTGATTTGGACAGAGTGACTGGCTAAAGGTTTACCAAAGATTTGTATCTGTCAATTCCTGTGTGCGCAATCCTAACCTCTGTGATTCTCCCTCACTCTGCCCATTCGCCACAAGTCAAACTATAAAGATATATATTTTTCGCTGCTTCATTTGATCCCAGCAGCAATATACTATACTTTATTCACCTTTCGATTCGCATATTATATATATATATATATATATATATAATGTGATCTTCCGCACGGTCCTTAATTTCGAGTCTTTAATAAATATATAAATGTGATTTTTGGCAGGGTCTGAATCTATTTTTTGTTCATAAGGGTAATTGACCCTTGGTTATCTTTGAAATTCCTTCGTGACTGATTGGTCTAAATGACGTCTGGCTATACGGCAGTTAGATAATTCAAGGCCGGTAGATTTTAATCATTCCATTTAAAAATAACCGTTGTCTATTCATTTATGCATTAAATATAACGTTTATAATAATTATATTTATAGTAATTATATATATATATATATATATATATATATATATATATATATATATAAGACAGAGACACTGAGAGAGATAGAGAGAAAGATATGTGTGGGGGGGTGCGTGTCTTAAACATTATTTTCTGTTTCGTTCTTCTGTTAGTATTCTCAGCACTACTGTTACTCTCTCTCTCTCTCTGTGTGTGTGTGTGTGTGTGTGTGTGTGTGTGTGTGTGTGTGTGTGTGTGTGTGTGTGTGCACGTGCATGCGTTATATTAGTGTGGATTTTATAGCAATTTTCAAGGCTCGGGAACCACTCAATGTAGAGGTTTACTTTTAAAAAGATAGATAATGATTAATGAATGTGGAGGTATTAGGAAAGGAAGTTTATGCGATATGGTGAACAGATAACGATTAATCCTGGCTTGGAGAATATTAGGATTGAAATGCTCGACGAAGCACCCGCGTGGAAGCCTGTTCCGCAAAGTGGTATTTCTTGGACGGGGGGGAGCTGTTTATGGAATTTCTTCTTACGTTTGGAACACGGAGGAAATTAGGATGATTCGATGATTATATATATATATATATATATATATATATATATATATATATATATATATATATATATTCCTACACTTTTACTTCACCTATAGTTTTTCATCATTGTTCTTTTTCTTTCTTCGAATTCATCTCTCTCTCTCTCTCTCTCTCTCTCTCTCTCTCTCTTTTCACTGTTCTTAGTTCTCTTTCTATTTCTTACTACCCTTCATACTTCTCTGGTTATCTTTTTCCCTATCCCACTTTCTCTTTCTCTCTCTTTCACTCTTTTTTTCTATTTTCTTTTATATGGCTTCTTAGAATATCTCCAAATATCTCTTTTTCAGGTGTGGTCTCTCATTTTTCCTCTTTCTATTCTTTCTCTAACCCATTGATTCTTCTTTGTTTTTATCACTTTCTGCAACCTCTTGTCTGTCTGTCTGTCTGTCTGTCTGTCTGTCTCTCTCTCTCTCTCTCTCTCTCTCTCTCTCTATCTATCTATCTATCTATCTATCTATTTCTTATATGCGTCGCTACGCATGCGTCGTTGCCTCACAATTTATTGTTTTCTCCCACTTTTCAAGTCAGTGTCAATACAATTTCCCCATCATTATTCACGGAGAAGAATAAGAGAACAATGGAATTTTTATAAACGAATACGAATAAGAATTATGCATGCAGATATTCGAGATCTTCTACCGCCCGTAGACAAATAGTAAAAAAAAAGCGAAGAGACGCTCTAAAAGCCTTTACGAAAGTCAACCGAGGCCATTGTTGACACTGAAACTTTTCTGCTTCTATTGGCTTTCTAATAAGCACTTCGGGCCTCAGGGTTGAAGGTTACCGTTTCTAGTGATTCCGAATGATTGAATCGCAAGGTCGAATTTCGTAGACTTGACTTGCCCACCGCTGGGCATTAAAACGAGAGTAAAAGAATTAAAAGTACAATAAAAGAAAACGCCTTTCTAGCCCCTTACTATCTTGTTTCAAATGACTTCGCTTTTTTTTTTTTTTGTTTTTTTGTTTTTTTGCTTTTTTTTCCTTTGGATTTTATTTTTTCAAGTTTCAGTGAAGTAGGAATCTTTTATAGGTTTCCACTGTTTTGTGTGCAACTATGAGGTTTGGTTAGGTTTGGTTCGTAGCACCAAAGATGTGTTTCTATCTGATACTAAAGAATAAATGAAACAGAATTCAAATCAATGAAAAATATATACACACACACAAACAAACAAACACACACACACACACACACACACACACACACACACATATATATATATATATATATATATATATATATATATATATATATATATATATATATATATATATATCGATGATGGAACTGCTGGTTATCTTTCGAGCGAAATGTGTGACAAAATGTTTCTAGAAAAAGCGAATTTGAAAAGCATGGAAATCCAGACGAAACGAATTAAAGAGTTGTAAGTCGAAGGTTTAATTGCGCTAGAGGTCTTCGGAATATTTGCTGTTTTCTTTGTGATGCTGCTAAACGGTGTAAAAAAGAATTACAAATAAACTTTAGCAAATACTAACAAAAGCTAACACTGATAAGACGAATGGAGGTGGTGAGGAATTATTAACAATAATATGCAATAAAAAATTTTTAAAAAGACTCATGATCAGTTATGACGAGGAAGATATTCCTGTTCATCACGGAAACAGAGCGTTGACGTGTTAAAAGGGAACTGAGAGGAAATAGGTGAAACGTGGAAAAGTTAGAAGATGAGGAAGACGATAAAACTGAACCATAGATAATAAGAGAAAACGGTAGTCTAACGAATAATAATAAAAGAAGCTATTAAAGTAAAAGAAAAACGGGAACAATGAATTCGCTAGACAGATAGATAGATAGATAGATAGATAGATAGATAGATAGATAGATAGATAGATAGATAGATAGATAGATTTGCACAAACTGGATTAGATAGATAGATAGATAGATAGATAGATAGATAGATAGATAGATAGATAGATAGATTTGCACAGACTGGATTAGATAGATAGATAGATAGATAGATAGATAGATAGATAGATAGATAGATAGATAGATAGATAGATAGATTTGCACAGACTGGATTAGATAGATAGATAGATAGATAGATAGATAGATAGATAGATAGATAGATAGATAGATAGATAGGTAGATAGATAGATAGATTTGCACAAACTGGATTAGATAGATAGATAGATAGATAGATAGATAGATAGATAGATAGATAGATGAGATTTGCACAGACTGGATTAGATAGATAGATAGATAGATAGATAGATAGATAGATATAGATAGATAGATAGATTTTTGCACAAACTGGATTAGATAGATAGATAGATAGATAGATAGATAGATAGATAGATAGATAGATAGATAGATAGATAATGCGACTGTTATTAAAAGAGAACGTAACTTTATTTGACGGAAAATTCTTGAGAGTGCCGCTATAGAATCTTACTGAAATATAAATCTGCGCCTTTTTTAATCTTTTTTTTTTTTTTTTTTTCAAATATCTCCTTTCCTCAGTATCTTTCTATATTTCTGAGGGGTATTAGCGGGAGATAACTGATAACTGACATCCATTAAACATGAGACGTGGAACTAGAACAGTCTACCCCAGTGAGCGAAATAAAGAGTCCAGTTCGACATTCCAACTACTTGAAGAAGGCCGGAGCGTACAACGGCCGAAACGTTGTAATAAAATGGCGACAAAGATGAGGAGAGTAGTCCGAATAATGTAAATAGTATAGATATTTAGGTATTTGGGGGGGGGTATTTTTTTTAACTGCATATTAACTACTTATGGGTTATTTAATACCGAAATTTTATTTTCTTGTGAGGTTTGGTAATCTTTTTTTGCCAATAAAGTATTGCTAGCAATTATTTTTCAATAATGTATTGTTGGTATTTTTTTTTTTTATTCAATAATGGTAAATTGCTTATTTTCTGATTTTTTTTTTTATTTCTTAATATGAAAATATATTGCTGGTCATTTTTCTAATATATTTTTATATTTTCATGTTTCATGACCCCAGTTTGAGTGGGGTTCACTATTTACCTATAGCTCGATCTTAACAGGTGCCATCACCCTGGGTCAGTCTGGGCATGGGAAAACATCAATTAAGAGGTGGTTCCGCGCTCCCCCAAAACCCCCGGCATAGATAGATAGATAGATAGATAGATAGATAGATAGATAGATAGATAGATAGATAGATAGATAGATGTAAGCAAAAGAAAGAAAATCGAAAATGGAAATAAAGAAACATAAAAAACTATGAACAAAAGAGAACATTATTTCAACACTTATTTGAAAATAACAATAATAATAGGTTTATTTTCTCAATGTAGTCTGATAATGCTGAAATTAATGTTTGTGTAAAGAAAGCCTCGCAATTATCATTTTACCAAACAAAGCCTGTTCCTTAATACGATAATTTAGAACGAATCTAATAAAGAAATTCGTCTCGCAGGCAAAGTGAGTGTTTTCTTAATTCTATTCAATTCACAAATAGTCGCCGAGAAATTAAGATTATTACTTCGTGTTGAAATTTCATATTTTTTTTTATCTCTATTTGATTTCCATTAATTTTATTCTCCTCACAATTTCCTAAATGCATCAGTGAATACACGTGTACTCAGGCTTCCGTGTATATGAGCGTGTATGTCTTGTCATTAAGCATTGCATTAAAATAAGTCTTTGATGGATCCGTTTTATGCCTATTATAAGCCATCTTCATTTTACTGGCAAGGACTGGGTGTCCTTTGCTGTTTAACAAAACACTCTTTTGCAAAACTGTTGCAAAAAAGATATAAACCCACCGAAATATGTAAAGAGTATATATATATATATATATATATATATATATATATATATATATATATATATATATATATATATATATATATATATATATATATATATATATATATATATATATATATATATATATATATATATAAAGGGTTCTGTCTACACAATTTTACTACACAAGGTCTCACGCTAGGATCGCCTCCTCCAGACCGATAACATCAAGTAGTCACTTTCCTAACAAAGCGACCATGATGAGATTCCAGCCGGATTCTCATGGCCAGAAAGCGTCCGCACCACACATTCAAATAGGATACAGGTTCCATTCCTGTCGGAGGACGAATATTTTCTATGAAAATTTCTCGGACATTCAGGCCGGTAAATGTTGTTTAATACTGTTTATTATAACCAGAACATTTACTTAAATATTTGTATCTATAAAAAGAATGTATAAACATAATAATGTCTTAATATATATATATATATATATATCCTGAAATGCAGATCTAGTCGTATTCATCTGTTTTACATTCGCCACTTCGGCAGTTTGATTTGTCATTAGACTCACCATGGTGTATACACTCCCCACCACCAGAATTTTGGTTAGATTGCGAGCCTCGTCCATTAAAAAAAATCCACTTTTGAGAATTGAAGAAATACCAATGATAATATAGCATATGTGAGATGAAATGAACCTGTGCGACGAATTTCAAAATATCTGATCAATTTTCTTTTCGGGAGGCCCTTTTGGTTTAGTGGATAACTTTTAAGCTTCCAACCAGACACCCAACTAAAGACCGAAGGTCAGAAATAACATCATGACATTTTCCACTGTACATTTTTTAAGTTAAAACCACACATATTTTATGTTGATAAAGCCGTTCGTAAGGTGTGAGTTGTACTTGTGAGAACATATTTTTTTTGTAGTTCTTTAAGGCATAGGATAACATGGATCCTTTCCGTTAGTTTATCAGAACCTTCCCAGTTAAACCAAAGGCTCCAATCACAACTGGAATTATAGATGTCTTCCTGGGACACATTTTTTTTTACATTTGCACTTCAAGATCTTTGTATTGTGATTGTTTTTTTGAAGATCTTCAGATATACATTACAGTCTACTAGAATTGTCAAGTCAATAAAAATGCATATTCTGTTTTTGTAGTCTTTGATCACTGTCTGGGCGATTAGTTATTATTATTATTATTATTATTATTATTATTTATTATTATTATTATTCTCATTTAATATGTTTACTATGTTGATGTTTTTGTTCTTTTGTTTAGTTTACTTTTATCAATATTACTTTAGCTTTTGTAAGTCGGCTACTGATTTTCATAATAGTGTTAAATGTTCTAGAGTGCAAAATATTTCTTCTTTATTGTTGATATTTTAAGAAATTGTCTTCATTTTTATTATCTGGAGAATTTTGAAGTGTGGGGTAGTGAATGTAAATAAAAAAGAGAAAAAAATATCTGCGTTGTGTGATGTTTCACCTCTCGATAATGACAATATTTTGACTTTACTTCCATTTTATTTAGTGAATCGTGCGTGATTACAAACTGTTTGATATCATTTTTAGAATGTGCCTCATATGCTTTCTGTTTAAAGTCATGCATCAACTGTGAGATTTTTAACGCTTTCCTAGAAAATATTTTCCTACTGTAGTGCAGTGTGAGTGACTCATAGGAAGTCGTATACATCTAACTACACATGTGTAAAAAGGTCTATTTATAGTCTCTGTGATTTCTTATGTAAGTGAGTTACCTCATCTCCTTGTTTTATACCATTATTTTCCCTGGTACTTCTGGGAGTTTTTGTCTCCACTGTCTCC